GTGACACCAAGGCAAAAAATAGCAAAATATATAGAGAAAAACTCGAGGGGGCGTGCAAATCGAAAGTTTGAGGGGGGGGGTGTGTGTGCAAATCGAAAGTTTGAGGGGGGGGGGGGGGGGGTGCAAATCGAAAACTTGAGGGGGGGGGGGTGCAAATCGAAAGTTTGAGGGGTGGGGGGGGGGGTGCAAATCGAAAATTTGAAAGTTTGTCCCCGGGAAGGGTCTCTATGCCTCTGGGGGGGTGACACCATTAAGTGGCGCACCGGGTGACACCCGACCTCGCTACGCCACTGCATTTATCTACTTGGTACAAATGAATCGAAGCATGTCACCTAAACATACTATTTGTTATAATATAACTTCGGAGCACAATTTGTAAAAAAAAAATAGTAACGATAACCGCACCGTAACACCCCCCCCCCCCCCCAACCAAATAACAATCGAGGGCAAGGTTTGTTTGTTTTTTAATCAAAAATTATCTACGAATGACATTACTGATTACAAAGGTTCTCAAAACGGCACCAGAATTTAAAAAACACGGGGTTGCAAACACAATTTTTCACAAAGTCCCGTAGGGGAGAAAGTTAAAGTGCAACGTGTATTCTGTGTGCGGTGTTCTAAAAGTCTCACACAAAGATTTTTGTATTTTACAAAATGACTGCGCGGCAGGTTCAAAACTAGTGCGCGGCCGCGCGACCACGCAGCTCAGTTGGGACATTGTCCCTGCCATTCTGTATGCGTGGGTTGGACTGTATGTACAAGCTGTTCTAGATTTGGTCATTGGCTGTGACCTCACTAAGATTCATCATAAACATAACCAATCAAAAAATACAAAGGACCGATAACGATAGAAACAAATGTTACCGGCGGCCATAATAATGGAGTTTTAATGGAGAATACCGTTAGCCTAGTGGGTAAGGTTGGGGGAGGGGAAGGTTGGTGGGAGGGTGAGGTTGATGGGAGGGGAAGGTTGTGGGGGAGGGTAGGGTTGGCAGGACGGTGAGGTTGATACACACACAATTGTAAAACTGAAGTAAACCACATATTTACAAAGTCATACTTGATTTACACACAACCTTAAGACTGACATAAACCACATATTTACACAGTCACGCTTTATAAACACACAACCTTAAGACTGACATAAACCACATATTTACAAAGTCACGCTTGATGACTTCCTGATACACCTGGCTTACATCCAAATAACTGTTCGAATTTTTTCTCGATCTAATAATAACTCGGTTAATAAGAAAAGACAGTCCCTAATCAACCGATAAAGACCAACTGATAAGATCAAGACGAGGGCACCGTCTACAGATGAGCGCGCACGTTGTCCATAGAGTTCACGACCGAGCGCCAACAGACATGGCGTCCACGGCGCTCGCCATACAGGCGATGATCCAGTTGAAGTCGCCTGTGACGGGAAGCGTTACTAGATCTAGCTGGAGTAATGGAAGAGGATCATGTTCTATATCAAAAAGATATTGAACTCAGTGGGGGAGGGGGAGGAATGTGGTAGGGTGGGGGAGGAATGTGGAGGGGGTAGGAATGTGGTAGGGTGGGGGGTCAGATTTTAATTAAGTGGTCGTGTCATGTAACCAGTACAGCCAAATAATTCCTAAAACTCGGGTCAAATCGGACGCTCTGGATTTCGGCTATAGTGTGAGCAAAGAAAAACAACAGCGTTGATTAAGTAAGTAAATGTGTGGAGAAGGGAAAACGACTCTAATCGCACCAAGACGTAGACCCATTACAGTTACAATACCTATTTCAACAGTGTTCTTTTTTTTTCTTTTTTTTCTTTTTTTTTTTGCTGTTGTTTGTGGATGTTGTGGTTGTAGAATGTTGATACCATTTCTTGTCTGCTATACGACGGTCCTCTGTTTTACTAATTAATTAAATTCGTACTGATTGCACGGTTCATTTAATAATAAAATTCTGCTACTGATATGGCTCATGATTTACATATATCTTTATATATATATATATATATATATATATATATATGTATATATATATATATATATATATATATATATATATATATATATATATATATATATATATATATATATATATATGTATATATATATATATATATATATATATATAGTGTATATATATATATATATATATATATATATATATATATATATATATATATATATATATATATATATATATATATATATATATATATATATGTATAAAGATTATGTATATTTTCTTTAACCCCTTTCCCATCGTAGCATATCGTCACGGAATTAGATCCCCCACCCCCTCCTCCACTGTGTGTAACGCTCATTACACAAGACCTAATTTTGTATACATGAATTTGTGTTTGTGTCATACAACATTTGCCTATGTATATCCGTACGTAGGAGATACGGCTGGAAGTGTAATGGAGTGTGGGGGTGAGGGTTTTTTTGCTACATGAATTCGGTGTAATTTAAAATCAATTAAGCTTTTTTTCTTAGAAATATATAAAAAAACAACAAAGGCCTTTTAATTCTTATATTTAAATTCCCTTACCACTAGCCTACACAGCGACCGAACTATGGATAAGCCCATTGCGCGACCGCCGCAGGTAGATCCCAATCAATAGATTAGTACACGGCAATCTGCCGCCGCCCCTCGCTAATGAGCGGCCTAGACTAGTCTAGTGCCAGCACGAGTTGTGGGACTTGTGTTTTGGTTCCAGAGTTCACTAACCTACAGAGTAGCAGGCCCTACCGCCGGGGCAGACTGCTCCATGCTGTTCAAACTATTGGACAGACGACGTGGATGGATTATTGTTTTTATTTGTGTGAGTAAATATTGATAATGCGGTCGACATTGAATTGTATGCGTGTAAATAAAACTTTTTTTTTTTTTAAATCGAAACAGTTTGAAATCGATTAATGTATTCATACTATGAGATAAGCGAATTTTTTTTTTTTAAATTTGTGAGTTGTTGTTTTTTTATTTTGAAGTGTTGGTCACATACCGAAAGCGTTGAGATCTAATCACTTAACAATTTTTTTGTACATTCTGAAAATAATAATAAGGCATAGCGAAACCAACAAAAATATTTTTAAAATCAAACAGTTTTAGCGATTGTGTATGGTTGAAATTTTTAAACATGAATATTTGAAATCAATAACGTCTGATAATCATTTAATAATAGCTCGATCAATGGCATGGATCTATTAAGCACACAAAAAACATTAGACAAACTGAGCAACTTTACGAATGTCATTTATATTGGGTTTTTTTTTTATATTTGAAGATGAGCTTTTTTTCTTGAATGCGTAAATACACTTGTAAAGGTTCTCTCTTATTATTACACCCAATGGGCAAGTCGACCTGCCAATTCTAAAGACAGTCTAGAGATGCATGCAAGTGTATGTTGAACCTTACGCTAACCAAAACAGTAACGAACACAAACGCTAACACAACGCTAACTCAAACGAAAACAACTCTATGCGTCCATGTCTTCCTAGAGGCACTGATAATAACGAAACCAGCACAAAACGACCATTCTTCAATCTTTCGACTAAACACCACCACGCACCATCAACACCAGCGCACGACAACCACCGATAAACTACTACATCGTTTCTTACAAGTGTTGTAGTGAAAGCGTTGTACGTCTAGGGCTTTATCTTGTAGCAGGCGGTCTCGTTCTCATGTGCTTGATTCTTACATCAAGTAGTGTGTGTGTGGTTAGGTTAAGTGTGTGTGGTTAAATGAGGTTAAACTTTCACGCAGTCAGGTATGTGTGTGGCTAGGTGAGGTTAAACCCGTGTGCAGTTAAATGTGTAGCTAGGTAAGATTAAACTCTAGTGCAATTAAATATGCGTGCGCTAAAATATGTGACTAAAGCTTTTATTTTAAAAGGTTTTTTTATAAATTATTTTTACTGCACTTAAAAGTTTATTACAATATTTTTTTATATTTGTATTTTTTTTCAATGACAAGTGTTTGCGTTGAGTGAGGACAAAGTTTCGTGCAATAAAATATTTGTTGAGCATTATTTAAACGGTTGTTATTGCCTGAAAGTGAAGGTTTAGTGCAGTTTTTTTTTGTTCAACAAGGCAAGTGCTATATTCACCCCGCATTGGCTGGAAGCGATGCTTGACCGACCACTCGTGATGGTCGGTCTAAGAACCCAGCGTTCGGTGTAGTGGTTTTTTTATTTATCAACAGTGGGTAGTATTTTGTTGCTAAGTGATTATGTTTTTTGAAAGTGGATTTTTTTTTTGTAAAAGGTGAGAATGTTGTAATCGAAAAGAGGGAGTTTTTTAGTGTGAATATTCTTATTAATAAGTTTGATTACTGATATAAATAGATAAACATTTGTTCTTGGTATTGAAAAGGAGTCATGTAAATTAACGCGACAAAAAAATTATACGTTATGTGCATTGTTGATTTATGTATTTACTAATGTTTAATTACATCATTAAAATCTAAATGAGCAACAAGAAGAGAGTAAGGACTGACCGTATCGAAAAAAAAATGTTTTGATAAAGTTTTTTGGGATAACACCAGGTACAGCAAGATTCGCAACCAGTTTTTGCTAGATGTATGAGATTACATGCGTGGCTGAATGCGCAATCCATATAATACAACGTGTACGGTTGTATCTTTCAAAAGACTAGCATGGAAACATAAGCATGTCTTTATAACAGCGAGTAAGATACAATGCAAAATATGTCCCTACAAACACATGAGACACTGGGAAAGTACATTTTTTTAAAGTTCAAAACTGACTGCAAATAAATACAACCTAGCTTGATGGTTCCAAAAAAAAAAGCGAAGAAATATTCCAGAAGTTATAATTATTTTTAACAAAAGCAAAACCGGTCACCAGCAAAACCATAACTCATCAAAACATATCTCTGATTTATTTTATTCAAGTAATTGTCTCATGCAAAAAGCCTTGAAAAGTTATTTGACTATTTCTTATCTTTTTCTAAAACTGACTAAACATTGCCATTTTGTTCACTTCCCAGCAGTTTAAAACCTCAGACTGTGACACAACGAGAAGCGAGAAGTACAGCGCCAGTGTGGCTGGACTGATACGACCGAGTTAGCCTCGAGCAAGCCCCTCTAGCAGACGACTCATGTGCTCAGCAGACGGCAGACGTCCGCCGGCCGATGACCAATGTTAACATGACCCCGGGGTCGGGGTGGACCGACCCTCCTACAACGCTTGACGTCATGATGTCACTGACGTCACATAGATACCGCGAAGACACATGAGACCGAACGGTCAATGAACAACAGCAAATTACCACCAAGCAATTAACAACTTGACACACGGATATAATTTTAATTAAGTGAGCGGCGAGCCAAGACAACCGTTCATACATCCAAACCATCGACATCAGGACATGAATGGTTGGTCCCCGTCATGACGTCACTGCTGGCCTGGCTCCTCGTCGCTATGCTCGGGGCGTCCATCGAGGGCGCCGAGCTCTACTCCGCCCTCGGCGCCCGTGACGACGACGACCCGGACAACAAAACCCAGACCCAGGCGCCCGCCTGCCCCAAAATGTGCTCCTGCGCCCTCCAGGTCTTCCCGGAACTGGACACCCCCCGCCCCCTCCTGGTGGTCAACTGCTCGAGGTCGGGGCTGGTGGAGTTCCCGGCGCTGCTGCCCAGCGGGACACAGGTGCTGGACCTGTCCCACAACAAGCTGCAGAACCTCAGCTACCTGCCCCAGCTGCCCGAGCTGCTGGCCCTCGACGTCTCCAGCAACTGGATGAAGCAGCTGGACAACCACTGGGTCTTTGAGCACGTCAGCAAGCTACGGCATCTCAGGTCAGTTGAGTTACCCTTACAAACCTAGCAACCCAAACCCGTCATTAAACTACGCCATCTCAAATCAGACTTAACGACCCAACCACTGGGTATTTGAGCATATCCCCTAAACTGTGCTATCTAGTCAGTCAAGCTCCCCTATGCCTATCCGAACAAACGATCTATAGGGCAAATGAAGTACAGTTCATATGGTTTTTGGCCACGGCTTATGAAAGGATGGTGTGGTCAACGCTATGCCCAATCGCCTTTTCTCCTAAAGTGAGTCAGGTACCCATCAATCAGAGCCGAGTTGACTTAAAATGTGTACCATTAAGAAATAACGAAAACCATAAACTTAACCTTACACCCTTAAGCACGGAATAACCGAACCTCCCGCATTGTAAAGTGTATTACGTCATACCACTTAACGTCTTTAAAACTCAAACCATAAACCTAGACTTGTGGTACGCCTTTTCCAAACCACACAACTACACAGAATCAGCCTGGAATCTCTATTTAAAAAAAACTTGTTTACCAACTCCAACCAACATCACGTGGGTACCGTTTAAATCCTGTAGCCCCCCCCCCCCCCCCATGTCACGTGTCATTAGTTTCATAACCTCCCTGTGTGTACGCCTGTCTCACACAAGCGCCCCCTGATCCCTACCATATGGTCGCCATTAACCCCATTCTGGCCACGCTTTAGCACCCACGCATGTCATTCATGAGAGGCTCGGCGTTAACGTCGTTCCCACTACACCCACCCACATTGGTTGATAAGTGTTTAACTCCAGTCCCATTCGCGACACACAGACTGGTTAACCTGAGCTAACACTCCTGTTAACCCGTGATCTCATCTTAGGTCGCATGTCAATTAACCCAAGGTTCCGTATATGTTAACACTTGGTCCCATATTTGTCCCACATCTGTTAAGCCGAGGTCCCACATGAGTTAAACCGAGGTCCCAGAACAGTTAAACCTAGGTCCCACATCAGTTAACCCCTGGTCCCACATAATAACCCAAGGGCCCACATCAGTTAACCCCAGGTCCAACATCAGTTAACCCCAAGCCCCACATCAGTTAACCCAAGGTCCCACATCAGTTAACCCTAGATCCCACATGTTAACCCCAAGTCCCACGTGTTCACCCCAGGTCCCACATCAGTTAACTCAAGGTCCCACATCAGTTAACCCTAGATCCCACATGTTAACCCCAAGTCCCACGTGTTCACCCCAGGTCCCACATCAGTTAACTCAAGGTCCCACATCAGTTAACCCTAGATCCCAAATGTTAACCCCAAGTCCCACGTGTTCACCCCAGGTCCCACATCAGTTAACTCAATGTCCCACATCAGTTAACTCAAGGTCCCACATCAGTTAACCCTAGATCCCACATGTTAACCCCAGGTCCCAGAGGCGTAGCGACCCTTCCCGGCGCCTGGGGACAAACTTTCGATTTGCACGCCCCCACCCTCGAACTTTTCATTTGCACCCCCTCAAACTTTCGATTTGCACCCCCCCCCCCCCCTCGAACTTTTCATTTGCACGCCCCCCCCCTCGAACTTTTCATTTGCACCCCCTCAAACTTTCGATTTGCACCCCCCCCCCTCGAACTTTTCATTTGCACGCACCCCCCCCCCCCTCGAACTTTTCATTTGCACCCCCCTCAAACTTTCAATTTGGCGCCCCCCCCCTAAGGTCGGCGCCCGGGGACATATGTTCCCCCCCCCCCCCCCGCCCCCCCTCTCTACGCCTCTGCCAGGTCCCACGTGTTAACCCCACATGTTAACCCCAGGTCCCACATGTTAACCCCAAGTCCCACATCAGTTAACCCCAGGTCCCACATGTTAACCCCAGGTCCCACATGTTAACCCCAGGTCCCAGTTAACCCCAGGCCCCAGTTAACCACTGGTCCCACATGTTAACCACAGGTCCCACATGTTAACCCCAGATCAAACATGTTAACCCCAGGTCCCAGTTAACCCCAGGCCCCAGTTAACCACTGGTCCCACATGTTAACCCCAGGTCCCACATGTTAACCCCATGTCCCACATGTTAACCCCATGTCCCACATGTTAACCCCATGTCCCACATGTTAACCCCATGTCCCACATGTTAACCCCATGTCCCACATGTTAACCCCAGGTCCCACATGTTAACCCCATGTCCCCCATCTGTCTCCCCAGACTGGCCGACAACGCCCTGTCCTCCCTACAACACGGCAGCTTCAGCGGTCTGGGTGACCTCAAGATGCTGGACCTGGCTCACAACATCATCAGACGGGTGGACACGCACGCCTTCAGTGGACTGCTCAACCTAGAGGTCAGTATTGTGGCGTCAGCACAAACATAGGGGTAGGGGGTGGTGCTGGTACTTTGTAAGTCATAGCACCGAATACGAAAGTGGAGTATCGCCAACAATGATACTGGCTTCAAAATCTAGCTCTAAAGAGTAAAGTATCGTTACTAGCAATACTAACAATGTATGCCGATACGGAATAAGAAACGGAATATATTTTTTTAAAATCAAAATGGAACTGGCGGGTATATTTAAAGAGGTTTGGTTATTTGTAAATCCATGAAAATTGTATTGAATACAAGGGTTTTGTCATTCTCTAAAAGTACTATGAGGTTTATGTTAACCTAATTTAGTATAACTGTATAACTGTCAACCATACTGTTACCCCACCCCCCCCCCCCAGCCCGCATTCAATAAGAAGGTTCAATGATAGGCTAATCAAGTTATGGAGATAATGAATGAGACTAATTTAAGACACGCATTGATTCACACACACACACACACAGACATTAACAACGCACTAAGTATGTGCGGGCTGTTATTTCTGCAGTCAATAATCAATAGAAACCAAAACGAGTTAACTAAAAGGGAATAGTGTAAATATTAGCTTACAGTTATACAGCTTTTTAAAATTCATTATTTTTTTTCTGCCGGTATAATTATTTTAGTCAGGGTTAAGGCTAGGGATAGAACTCGGGTTGTGGAGGTTATGGTATCGAAAAACCTTAGTGATGGGTTAATGAGTACTTAATAGTACATACGTTTCAATATCTAGTATTACTATACAACTATAGAGCTTTTGAAGCACATACAAAGGTGTGCAATATATAGGTGAGCTTTTTATAAGATCAAATGAAATGGTGTTATTTAATTGGGCGAGATCTATATTAGGGCGCATAGCAATACAAATATGTGAATTTAATTAGGTGAAAACGTTATAAGGGCACATACACATACAAAGGTGTGCATTGATTAGGTGTGATCTTTATTAGGGCGCATACATAAACAGGTGTGAACTACACCAGTGAGTCTTTATTAGGGCGCATACATAAGCAGGTGTGAATTAAATCAGTGTGTCTTTATTAAAGCGCATACATAAACAGGTGTGAACTACACCAGTAGATCTCAGCCACCATTGTCTCCTCCCCAGGTGCTAAGGCTGGACGAGAACGACCTGTACCAGCTGAAGCGTGAGTGGTTCCTGTCCTTGACCTCCCTCCAGCGGCTGCACGCGGGCAAGAACCTGGTGGCGTGGCTGGAGAACGACACCTTCAACAAGCTCAGCCGTCTGCAGCATCTGGACCTGTCCGACAACTCTCTCCGTGACATCCCGGACAACTCCCTCAACGGCTTGCACAGCCTCAGACTCCTCAACCTGTCCGGGAACTCCAACCTCCGGGAAGTTCCGAGTAAAGCCCTCCGCGCCGTGTCTGGTATCAACATCCTGTTGCTGGACGGCACGTCCATAGAGAGACTCGCCTCGTTTAGTTTCTCCTCCCTGGGGGTCGGGGAGATCTCACTCAGCTTCATGCCCAGGCTGAAAGTGGTCGAGAGGTCAGCGTTCCACAACCTGACCAACCTCAGGACGTTGCAGCTCCACGACAACCCCCGCCTCATCTACATCCACCCCTCGGCGTTCACGTCGCTCCCCCTGCTGCGTCACCTCCTCCTCCACAACAACGGTCTGGTGGCCGTCCCCGGGCAGATCGTCCAGTCCCTGCCGTCGCTGGTCGACCTCCACCTCCACCACAACCCGCTGCTCTGCGACTGCAACGTCTACTGGCTGCGGCAGGAGCTGAGCCTGGAGCACCACTACCAGCCTAGAGGCAGCATATCATCCACAGACCACATATCCACTGACCACATACCATCCACAGACCACATATCCACTGACCACATACCATCCACTGACCACATATCATCTACAGGCTTCCCTTCATCATCCACAGACTTCGCCGTACCATCCACAAGCACCATGACGATAGAGATCGTCCCAAACAGAACTTACATCAGCGAGCCCGGTCGGGTTTCCTGTTTCTTCCCGGCAGGAAACTCCAGCCTGCCTCTCATCCAGCTACCTATGCAGTACTTCTCCCCCACCTGCCCGCCCACCACCCTCCCTCTGTATCCGCCATCCATCAACGCCAGCGTGGGCGATGAACTCAGGCTGGAGTGCCACGGCCTGGGCGTGCCGACCCCCAGCATCTCCTGGCACCTCCCCGGGGGTCGCCAGCTCAACTCCTCATACACCCCCACCAAAGACGACTCCATCAAACCACCGGATCTACTAGACGAGAACACCCTGTACATAAAATCCCTCACCCTCACCGACAGCGGCACGTACATCTGCCGGGCCGTCAACTCGCTCAACGAGGACGTCACCGCCACCACAGTTCGTGTGCTCAACAAACCCCTCACCATCTCCGACGCCAAAGTCGGCAACGACTACATCACCCTGTCCTGGAAGGGTTCCATCCCGCGCAACCAAATGTCGGACTTCCAGCTTTTTTACAAAGAACTCTTCTCCATACCCAACCCCACCGAAACAACGGACACTGAGGTCAATACTGCCGAGGAGCCTAAACCGGACCAATCCACCCTCAACGGGTTCGACGTCGTCTCGCTTCACGCCTCCGTGCACAAATGCACCATCACGGGTCTCAAACCGCTGACGACCTACCAGGTGTGTTTGGTATACAAAGCGGTGCACACCATCCAGTGCAACAACTACACCACCACGCAGGACGTGCAGGTGGTGCGCGCAGACGGAATCGTCCGCGTCAGCAAGACGCAGGTGGGGGCGGGGGTGGCCTCGGTGTTCGGGGTGCTGCTACTGGTGGCGGTGGTGCTGGTCGTGCGGAAGGTCCGGCACCGCAAGGATTACCTGGACCCGCTGGCCGAGGAGGAGAAGACGAACATTCCCTTGGAGGCGCTGCCGCCCGCCGCGCCCAGCACCCCCTTGACATCCTCAAGGACGGCGTTGTTGACAAACTCTCAGATTTGAAGTGTTTAAAAAAACCAAGCGAACGGCTAAAACAAAACTACGATCTCTAGAACGATCCCCAGAAAACCTGAATTTCTTAAAATCGGGCGAAGTATGATAAAATCTACAAAAAGGGGAGATCACTATAAAAGATTTTTTCTTTAAAGATTACATTATTCCAACAATGATAGGACCGGTGTTTTATATGCATCACATCCATTGCTGAACGATTTGTAAATAAGAATCCCCCCACCCCCCCCCCCTACCCCACCCTCTAAAAAAACTACAGCTTGTATATCCACAATTCTATACCACCATTAGCGTAGAAACATGTAAATAATGTACATTAATTAATTAATTATTATTTTGTGTTAGATCTCCAAAGTCAGCCTGAAAATATGGATCACAACAAACTGAGGTGACTCATTGTTTTGTACTTTACGACTGATTATTTTTTGCACTAAGTTTGACACCCTAGGATTATAAAAATTTAGTTCACAGCTTGTATACAATTATTGGTTTGTCTCTTAAAGCCACAGGACCATACGATATCATATTAATGCTGTTGTTTTTTTAATTCTGTCTGTGCCACTGGTGATGACTATCGCTTGTGTCAGGAGTGGGGTCAGGTTTAGGGTAAGAGTTACAGCTAAAGACATTTAATTATAGGCTTAGGGTTAAAGCTAGTGTTAGAGCTAAAGATAATGTGATTTTAGATGTGACAAATTCTGTTACGTTATATGTAGTCATGGTTCCATATCACAAGATTCACTTGATAATCATTTTAACGTACCTAATTTATATTTTTCATATATATATATATATATATATATATATATATATATATATATATATATATATATATATATATATATATATATATATATATATATATATATATGGTTTCAGATAATACATGTAGGTTTCTAGCTAAAAACATGATCTCAAATGGATAATGAAATGAAATTTTAAATTTAAAAAAAAAAATCACCACAGTAGATAACAATAAATTCACAAAGTGGAATTCTCGCATATAAAAACATGCACTTAATAAACAACTCCATGTAAAACAATACAGCAAGCGTCTCCTTAAACTTAGCACATGCAAATATTTTGCAACATATGAAAAGAAAACTTCAAGCTATATGTTGTTCTATATTAGCCCTGACCCAGCAGATATATCAGACGCTAGGGTCTACTACATACTCAGAACAGTGATGCACATTAATCAATTAGAACCAGCTAATACGAATTTGAGATCACCCGAAGATGATAAAAATAGAAAGCCTGTAAATTATAAAATCCCACGGTCCAAGCCCAACAATCTAAGCCCTGCAGATCTAAGCCCACAAACCTACAGCCCTAAGCCCACAACTGCAGCACTAAGCCCACAATACCAAACCTACAGATTTAAGCCCACACACCTCAACTACCACTCTAAGCACACAAACTCAAACTAACGTAATACTAATACTATCCCAAGCCCACAAACTACAACCTTAAGCCCATAAACCTTCAACATTAAGCCCACAGACCTACAGCCTTAGCCCACAAGCATACAAGCTCAAACACTAATACTATCCCAAGCCCACAAACTACAGCCCTAAGTCCACAGACCTACAGCCTTAACCCACAAGCATACAAGCTCAAACACTAATACTATCCCAAGCCCACAAACTACAGCCCTAAGTCCACAGACCTACAGCCTTAACCCACAAGCATACAAGCTCAAACACTAATACTATCCCAAGCCCACAAACTACAGCCCTAAGTCCACAAGCATACAAGCTCAAACACTAATACTATCCCAAGCCCACAAACTACAGCCCTAAGTCCACAGACCTACAGCCTTAACCCACAAGCATACAACACTAATACTATCCCAAGCCCACAACCTACAAAAAAAACTGGAGATGATACTTTAGTTACCACCAAAGTCTTAAGTAACACACCTTCCAATAATACTATATCTTCATGTGATCATATCTACTATTTAAACTATTTAATGTACAACCAATAAAGGATTAATCATTTGGTACAGCTTGTTTTTTATATTTATATCTTATACATTTATTCATTGTATACAGTTAATTGAATGAGAACTTTAAACCAATTGAATGTGTTGTTATGGTGTGCTAAAAATGACATGAATAATTTGACTGTTTGCTTAAATGAAACAATGGTTGATGTATGGTGTAATGTATATAGAATTAAAGCTTACGTGACATTGTGCCCAACATTGAAAGTGTGAGTGAAGGGTGTAGCTATGAACAGTGTAGCTATAAGACTTTTTTGCAATATTTCCACTGCCATATCCTAGCAACAGCAGCCATGTTGTGCTTTTTTAACTATAATTCTTGTTTCATCAAATTTGTTTTAATAAACTACATTTCTAATTCTTACCCCTGTCTTAGTTTGTATAATTTTATTAGTATAACCTATTTGCATAATTATTCTCATAATCATCTCAGCTTACATAGTAAAACTTAATTAGGCTTTAATGCACGGGTGGCTTATCATCTATTCCAATTTTTCAGCTAGATGATGCCTACCTAGAAGCAATCCTAGGTAGGGTGTTCCGTCACAACAACATCTAACTTACGATAATCTCAACGAACTATTAACTCAACTCAAATTTCACAACCTACGATTATTCATCTCTTAAATACTCAAAAACATTATCCAAATAAACTATTCTACCATCGCTACTACTCAACATTCTCAACATGCCATTTCCAACACACGATTACTCAACCCCATCTACCAATCAACAACAAATCAACTCTCGACCACCCAAAAAAATTTACTTTTAACTGGTCATCCCAAACTCAAGAAATTCAAGACTAACCAACCCTCCAACACTACGAACTCTCCTCACATACTCATGGGCCATTTGCAACTAAAAGACATAACCCAATCTACCACTACAAGACCAAAGACAACACACTTTGATAACTCATCCTGTGCTACCATCAACAACAAAGACTACAGCTATCTACGATACCTCAACAACCCACTACATCATCATCACGATACCTCAACAGCCCGCTACATCATCGATACAATACCAGCTCAGCAACTATAGTTCCATTGACACCCCCCACTTCACGCAAAACTACTAACCAATTGACACCACTTCAAAACGACACAACGAAGATCAAACACTTCCCACTGAAGATTGTTCAATTGCAAGAATCTCCGCCCAAGAATACAAAGACGTGGATTGACCATGTGCTGTTTAGTGATGTTATGTATTTTAAAAAAAAAAAAATAAGGAGAATGCAATTTAACAGAGCTATCCTTAGGGTTTATAGTTTATAATCAATTTCAAATCTCATGTTAACTGTCTATAAATTCTAGAGATTAAATAAGTAAGGTGAAATGAAAAGAATTTCTTTGCTAAGACTTAATAACATATTTATGAAGATAAAGATCAGAGAAGAACTAACATGCATTACTGATAAAAAAATTTAAATTAAAATTTGGAATAAAAAAGAAAGAGAGATAACCCGTAATATTTACCATAAACCGTTAAACTTACTTATTACTTCCCCTGGCAAATGTATATCTACCTTACAGAAACGTTTTCCCACAGTGTTACTAAACCTAAGCTTCTATGTTAAACTTCAAAGATAATGTAAGCATTTCTCTTTCTTTTTAAAAAAATAAATGATAACCAAAAATTGAGTTTAATTTAGTAAAATGTACTTACATAAGAGATACAACATCCCCTCTTTCAAACTGCAGGCTTGTGGCTGCCCACCTATCCAACAGCACAAAGTCTGTGTTAAATCCATCAGGGTTCAGGGTTGGCTGAGGGGAAGTATTAGTGGATAAGTACGGGATATCAGATATGTAAACAGTTGAACAGATAACTGTTTTAATAAAATTGATTGTGCCAATCAAATCAACAGTTATGCTGTTAAAATTAAAATCAATCTAAGTGTCTCATTCAGTAATTACATATATTTCTAATTTAACACTTGCAATAATCATTAGCTTCACCACAAAGTACAAGAAAATATGTTATCTGCATACAATTTAGCTATTTTAAGCTGCCTTTCTGTATGTGATTCTCCCAGGCTAAAATACAGATATAAATTATACACCAAACATACACATTTTAAATACCTGCATAGAAACACCATCTACAGTTCGAACAGCATAGAAGAGATCTGTGAAAGCCATGTATGGCGGGATAAAAAGAAAGGCCCCTTTCACTATACGCCTTATCCAAGACATTCTGTTTATCAAAGGTTGGAGAGACTTAAGGCACCTGTAGGAAGCAGGAAATAGTTTGAGGTGATAGTGTAGTACATGGATTGGCTGTGGTTACGGCAAGCAAAAAATAAGTAATGAGGAATAAGACAAGTGGATGTTTCATCTTTTGGTAAATTCTCCTATAACAAAACATACAATATTAAAAATTAAGAAGAAACAATTTATGTCAAACACACAGGTTGGAGTTGTACGGTTGTTGCCGGACCCCAGCTTAAATGTAAAATAATGATTGCCTGGTACTTAAGATGATATGGTGTGGTAGAACAGGAGGGCCCTTCCTGCTAACCTGACCATTTTGAGGGTTGTGAGAGGTTAAGCTAGGTAAAGTTTTTTAACAGTCCATTGACAAGAACGTATAATTTCAATATGCTGTTGGGGTATATTGGAAAAAGATGGAGGATCCAAGTTTAGCTTGGTAGGGTAAGTTAAAACAGGAACAAATGATCTAAATATGTAGTTAGAAACAATCCTTGCTGCAAGATGAGATAACTTGGAGTGGCAAAAAAAGCATGGTCTGGTGAGCCCACAAAAAGCTGGCCGAAAAACTTTGCCACAATATTGAGAAGAGAAACAAACGACCAGAAGAGCTGAGCTCATGTTGCATTTTTTCTGGCAACTTTTTGTCACAGGACAGACCAACAGCATCTTCTGCCAGGTGGTATTACAGGTGGTATTATTTGTGGTAATTACAAGTGGTATTACAGGTGGTATTACAGTTGGTATTACATGTGGTAATTACAAGTGGTATTACAGGTGGTATTACAGGTGGTATTACAGGTGGTAATTACAAGTGGTATTACAGGTGGTATTACAGGTGGTATCACAGGTGGTAAAAGAAGAATGAGATATTTGAGTCAATGTTGGTCTGTCTAACTGAAGGACATTGCTCTACTGTTTATGTAACATGTTCAGGTTGTATTATTGTCTGTTTTGTCCTGTCACTTTCAAGTGACTTAAAGCCTCTGTGTTTTATGAAATTTTACAAAATTTCATCTGACAAGCATTCGGTAGCATCTCTATAGATGATTAAAAAAACTTCAAAAGTTCGGTATTAATAATTCAAAATTTAATTTGGAAGTAGATATTATCAAAACTGTTACAATAATCATCTTAAAAATATCTCATGTTCAATTATATCTATCATATCTCTAGAGATTATTTATGCATACTTCTGAGCAATGACCTGTTTGTTAATTACAATACAGCAAACTTTTTAGAATTGGAAGATCTATGAATTCTATGTCTTGAGATCTCTTTCCTATTGTCTTGCTGTCCAATAAGTTACAAAAACAATTTTAAAAAAAAAAACATTTTTAAACATCAAAATGAATATAATGTTCAATTACCAATTAGACCTAATTTAGTCATTTTTGTCAGGGACAATTAATATTTTTAAAAATTACTTTCCATATTGCATCGAGGCGTTTTTATGTTAATTTTTTTTTCACTGTTCTGCTGAGAAGAGAAGACAGTCGAAACTAGACAAACTGTACTTTACACTGAATAAGGCTTAAATGTAAAATAATGATTGGCTTGTACTTTAGATGATATGGTGTGGTAGAACAGGGGGCCCTTCCTACTAACCTGACCATTTGGAGGGTGGTGAGGGGTTAAGCTGCGAACAAAAATTTCAGTTTCAGCCCCCAAAGGCTCACATAGGCCGCTGAGGGCCCTGTAATAACATTTTTTTTGAATAATCAGATAAATTAACCAAGGGTTAGATTATTAACTGGGTTGTTTCCTTTTGTCCATAAAAAAAATCCAAACAATTCCAAAGCCTACAGTTCTAGAAATAATGAAAATATTTCCGTAAAAATTAATTAGTGAAGGGCAACTCAAATCTAAAAATAAAAGTCACACTTCTAAAAATAAATTTGTAACTCGAGGAAATCCTTCTGTACAGTTTCGTCACTTTGCAAATGATGCAATTAGCAACTATTTTTAGACGATCCAATCAGAAATTGAGATCGAGCATCTAATAATACACCATTAGTGATGCTAACAAATTGCATCAGCCACACGTCAAATAATTTATTTCTACATGTTAAAGAAAAAATCCTGTTGATTTATGTCACTTAAGCGAATGATGCCATCTATATCATTGTTTTAGGATGTTATTTGGCGCTCTGGGTTATCCTTTGAGCACCAGGGTACTTACGTTAGTTTTAAACAGCCAAGGACCGTATGCAGCACCCCTGCGGTAGTGTAACCGGAGGCTCTCTAGAGCAGGGGTTCCCAACCCTGTGCCCGCGGGCGCCATGGCGCCCGCTGAACGATTCGTATGTGCCCGCCTCTCACTATTCGACAGAGACAGAATTTTTTTCATAAACATTAATTTAAAATATGATTTATTTTTATTCATTTGTTACAGTTTTAATTTTTTTTTTATTGCCTAGGTTTATGAAATATGTTCGATACTTGTCCCAACTTATCTAGCGGCGAGCCAGGAGATAGTTATAGTTCTTGTTATAATATATTTATGCATATAAGGCAGAACAGACTTGCGTTATAACATTGTCATTGATATTATATTGTAGTTCAATTTTTTTTTTTTAAATTATTTATTTGAGTACATGTATATGTACATGTACATGTACATATACGGGTACATGTACATATATGGGAAAATGACAAGTTATGGAAGGAGTTTTAAAATAGGTGGTGCCCGCCACCCTACCGATATTTTAGAATGTACTCTAGAGTAAACAAAGGTTGGGAACCCCTGCTCTAGAGCGTTCCTCTACATCCCTTACATCTTGGCGGTCACGGAATTGTGTTCTGCCTCACTATTTACGATGAGTGATTAACGTACACTCATCAAGGCTTTCATGCAGTAGGTAAACCCATGCCCTGATAAATATGATCAATGATCCATTCCAAGCGAATAATTATATAGTATAGGCCTAATATAATATAGTTAAATATAGATCTAGATAATCTAGACCATGGGTCTCCAAACTACGGCCCGCGATGTCCTCTCGACCGACCCACGGAGATCTTTTTGTCCACGGAAAAAATGTTTGTTGGTGATGGCTGAGGAACTTTGCTCAGAAAAATCACAACATGCCTGGAAGAAACCGGCCCCCGAACTGAAATTTGGATGCGGCCCTCGAGCTGAAAAGTTTGGAGACCCCTGATCTAGACTATCAGTATCTCTAGTTTTAGATTTTAGAGCTAGACTTTAGAGTTTAGAGTACATCTAAATCTAACTAGAGGTCTAGATTTAGTTATTAAATCTAGATTTTAGATGTAGATTCTAGATGTAGATCTAGAATTCTAGATTCTAGCAGTGTTTCTTCCAAACTTTTTTCTCCGGGGGGGCACTTGAAATTTTCGGGGGGGGGCGGTAAACTTTCTTCGGGGGGGCGGACACTGTTAAAAGTATATATTTTCTATATAAATTATATAAATTTCATTCCGTTCGGGGGGCGGTAAAAATTTTTCGGGGGGGCTTAGCCCCCCCCCCCCCCCTCCCCCCCCCCCCCCCCCCCCCCCCCGAAGAGATGCCTGGAAGAAACTCTGGATTCTAGATTCTACATTCTAGATCTAGAAATATAGATTTATGCTAGATACTAGATTCTAGATCTAGATCTAGTATTCTAGCTACTTTTACTAGATTCTAGATGTAGATTCTAGATCTAGTTCTAGATCTAGATTTAGATCTAGATCTAGAATCTAGATAAAGTGTTAAAATACTTTTAAATAAAAATCTAAATTAAATGAAGTTGCCCGGTAAGTTAGCAAGAGTTCGATTGTTCTCACTTAAGCGAAAAATGAATTTTTAATATACTCACGGTATTTAGTTATAAAAAACGTATTAAACAAGTCCATTTGAACAAGAGTAACATGTTTTAAACTCTAACTAATATCTAAACCAATATACTACACTCAAAATACGTTTAAAATGTTTGTGTTGACACTGAGGTACACAAACTCCAATGTCATTGGCAATTTTAAATTTTTAGAGTGATTTCCCTTGCTGAAACAAAATCAATTCATATTTATTTTACCCTCTCTTTGATCATTGTGTTTTGTGAAAAATATTTAGATTCTAGAATATATAGATCTAGATCTAGATCTAGATTATAGATCTAGAAATATCTAGATTCCACAAATTTGAGATGACTTATTGAATAATAATTTTTTTAAGACCGCATCTACCTTGTAATGTGTAGACTACAGTAGACCGAGCCAATTTAAGTTAAATTAAGTCTCGAGAACCTTTTAGGTATTTGAAAAAAATGATCACTATTTTTTAGGTAAACTAAAGGTTTTTTGACACGCTACTTAAAAATTAGAACATCGTTAATAGCAGGAATCGCAGAAGTATGGAGATCTAATTTATTTTTTCATTGTGTAAGTTCTAATTTGTGTTATTACCGCGGTGTTTAATCGGTTGTATAGTGATGAGTTTTTAGTTTTAAATCGAATGCACTTATGTTTCTAAAGTCTGAGTCGAGACAGTTCACTTTTCATTTCATTAGATTTTGTAATATGGTACAGATTTTGGATCCGTACCACTCAAAGAAAGATCTTTTTATAGTTGTATTCAACTGAAGTAGAGTTCAATGGAAAATAAGTTGAACTGATATTATAAATAAAAGACACAACAACAATCTTAAGGGTTTTCAATAATGAATATAATAAATAATAATATTGATTTGTTAATATAAATAAGGTATCATACTATCATTGTAATTATTTAAATATTATAATGTAGTTTTGATTATTAATTTTAACATCTGTATCGTTGCTAAAGCTACAATACTTAAAATTAGATAATTTGTTATTTTAATTAAAATATGCTAAGTTATTTCCCTTGAACCTACTTTTTAACTTATTACAGTTCTTGTACGAGACAATTATACTTTTTTTGTCGAGTTGCAATTTTTTATTTTTTACGGTTTGAGGTCTATATTAATTGTATTGCTAAATATGTAAATATTGTATCATCGATGCTTTAATTTGCAGAATGGCATGCAGGCAATTTGTGGTGTTATCCTCTGCTGTGACAGGAAAAGTTATATATTTAAAATATATATATTATAGTCAGTAGTCATAACCTCTCCCCCCCCCCCCCCCCCCCCCCCGAGTTTCTTCCAGACATCTCTTCGTCTACCGCCTCCCCCCCCCCCCCCCCAACGAAATGAAATATATATAGAAAATATACACTTATATTCTCTGTTGGAGAAAAAAGTCTGGAGGAAACACTACCCTCCCCCTCCCCCCCCCCCCCCCCCCCACCACCACCACCCCTTTTTCCTCCTATATCGGTTCAGTCATTCAGTGTAATTTACGAATTTAGGATTTTAAAATGGGTTTTTTTTTTCAATTTTTTTTTAATTTAACTTAAATTGTTTCCCAAGTTATTTTTTTTGTACATAGTTATAAAACATCAATGCATCTTATCTTGGCCCAAATGTGGTACACTTTTTAATATTAAAATTACATAGTGATTTGCAGTAAATTTTTTTTTTAACAAGTATACTTAAAATTTTTGTATGAAAGGCTGAAGTGTGACATTTCCTGATGGGGGTGGAAGTGGAGCGGTGGGGGAAATCAACCAAAAGAGTGTGAGTGAGCTTGGAAATAATAGGACTTTTAAATTACCGGTTTCTTTATTATTTGGATTCTACCATTTTTTTTTTTTACTATTTAAAACAGTGAATAAAGACATGTTTTGATGAAACAAAGCAATATATAGACTTTTGTAAAGGAAAGGAATAAAAAAAAGGTTTGTAAAAAAGTACTTTTATTTTCAAATCATAAGGGAGACAAATATAAAATAGCAAACACCCGCAACATTTAACTATCAGCATTGCACATACTGTAGAGAAAAACAATTGGCTCCATAGGCAAAAACTTGTACAGCAGTTGAAGAGGAAAAAACTGGGGACAATAATTATAATAACATTTGGATTCTTTATAAGAAAAATTTGAAAAGGATCTTGGAAGAAAAGCACAATGTAACAAATAGGATAGATCATAAAATAGTGAATGTTAAAAAATATAATAGGTGAGATACATCAGTTGTGAAGGAATTAAGATATGTTATAAATTATGTGAAACAAACCCTCAACTTCGTTTACAGCAAAACATTTTTTTTTACTTAATATCAAATTATTCACTTTTTACACTAATATGAATATTTGTTAAAATTTGTCAATAAATAAAAACATTTGATGCAATAAAACTATTAAAACAAAAAAAATGTTATTATCTGGGCTATGTTAAAAGATTCTTTAAAATTATTATAAATAATAAATGCTACATTGTTTTAACATAACTGAAAAATTGAAATATTTCAAAGTCTAGGTATCAAAAACACATCTGTATACTAAAATGAAGAACTTTCAATTTTATAGAAGAAAAAAAATTATATTTATACACACATTTTTCTTCGCTAGGTTTATTAATAAGTTTCAAACATTTATTTTTTACAAAGCAAAATAAATAGTTAACGCTGTTTTATGATATGTTCAAAGTTGTACCCTAAAATATATTAAAATAAAAAGGGTGACATGTTGACAGAGGCATATAAAGTATCAGTGTAAATGTTTAGAACAATAACATGAAATGTATATTAAATTACTTGTATCTGAGCAATTAGAAATTGTAACTACCATATGATCATGTAAAACAACATTAAATGAAATATGGAGGTGTTGATATCACAATAGCGCATAAAGTTTGTAAGTTTTAATATACTATTATTATGTGTTGTATAGTTAATACTGAAGAATATTATTTATATATTACTCTTACAAAAAGACACAAATATACACACCAAAAGTATGTGAGTTATTCTGTGTGATAAGAATCCGATTTAAATTATTTCATACTAAAATTGATAAGTTTAGCCTGATAGAATAAATACATTATATCTTTAAAAATAAACTGATATGTTGGATAATAATACAATTACAAGATTAAAATAGTTTTTCATAACAAATTTTAACCTTTTCTAAAACATCAATGTTATATAACAGGTTCGTCAAAACTAACATTCAACTTTCAAAATTGTTTAATAGATGGTTATAGATAGCTATATTTTTTTAAATATATAAAAAAAAATTTACATTTTTTTTCAAATACAATGGAAGTGGGTTTTTTTTCTTCAATTTATTCACAGTAAAGCAAGGAAGACAGAAGGATCAGTGATGCATATAGTTAATGTGCTACCATTGTTCAATTAGCTGAATGCATAAAGTGTAGGTAACTTTGGCAGTTTGAGTTCAGCAACAAAACCAGAGCATTCATGAAATCAATATGAAAATATAAGCCGTTGTGGAAAGAATTCTACATCAGATATAATCAAGGCAAATTAAAATAGTTGCAATAAATTATGATAAAGAAAAACATTCAGAAGAAAGTATATAAAGACTTTACATTAGGCATTTTATCAATCAACAATAAAATGCTGCCATTTTAAAACTTAAAAAAAAAAAAGTTTTTCCTTTTTTTTTTAACTTTACAAACCTTTCAAATTTTTTTTCACATTACTCTAGTATCAGGAAAATCTTAAATTACAGAAGAATTTTTACAAAGTAACATCATAAAAGGTAAAAAAGAAAAAAAGGATTCAACACAGACTAGAGGTAAAAATGGTCCCCGAAACTATATAAAGAAGAAATGTCCATTGAATTCCTAAACAATGGTCTGATAAAACTAGAGATGGTAGGAGTGTCAACTGAATTCCTTCACCATTATCACTCTGACAAGAAACAACAGAAATGTCAATTGAATTCCTTCAAATACATCTCATGCTGTTCCTGTGGTATCCCTTTGCCTAACAGAGTCTCTTACAACCTCAATAGTTTTGTATGGGTCAATGTTCACATTGGTGGCCTAGAGAAGAAAAGGCTTTATAAATTGTGAGATTTTGCACCATACAAAGTAGAAACACATATACAAATTTATAATGTGAAAAAGTTTAAGAATTAACTGCCTAAATAATAAAACCAAACAATGACAAATATACAAGGTATACAAAGAAAACATGTTATTTTGAGCTTATTTTATTATAAATTAGATATGCATACACATATACAAAGTAGACTCCTTTCCCCCTTTACCCCCCCCCCCCCCCCAATAGATTTTACAAATACAATTTTCAACTTGGGGATGGTCAAGATTTGAATAAACAGGTTTTTTACAAATTAAAAATATTAATTAAAATCTCACCAAATACAACTCAAGAGAGCTCATGTCAGCACGGATATCAGTGATGTAGCCTCTGGTAATCACTCGAGCATAAGCAGGTAGTCTCCCTTCTCTGGTATTCTTTTAAAGTAAAAAAAAACAAATAAAAACATCAATGACTTTTAGAATCTATCATATTATTTATCACCAAATCAGTTTCATAAGCAACCTTTACAATTAATCAATAACATTAATTACTACAGATCATTACAATCAATCAATAACATTAATTACTACAGATCATAAATTTATATATATAAATGTATAATAATATGCATATTATAATATATATTTTTTTTGTAAAAAAGCTAATATTTTAAGAAAAGAAACTTAATGTTTGATTTAAAATAATACAATAACACATGATATGAACATAAAAGCCTTCATAAACTTACCAGAGCAGGTAAACCTATCCCCAGAGAAAAACACATTTTATGTAAGTCATCAATAAAACCTGTGGAAAAAAAACAGGGCAGAAATGTAAAATTGTATTCCTAATTTAAAAACAGCATATGATAATTTAAAACTCTTAAAATAGGAAACAAATATGGATTTTAATTTTAAAAAGTTTCAAGAAAGAATTCACTCACCCCTCAAGACAAAAAATAATAATGTATAAAAGTCAGTATCAGGATTCTCTGATATCACAACAACTTCATGATCTTTTTTGGGGACCTGTTAAAAAAAAAATTCATACCATATATCACAGCTCATTAAAGTAGAATAGTATTAATAATTTCAAAGAATATGAGTAATTTCAAACTAACCAAATGAAAATATTTTCCTTACCAAACTGGCAAAGGCCACAGCACTTCCATATTTGACTGTTAGATTTAAAGCTGTGTAAATGTCGACTAGATCAGAAAAATAGTTGCTTTTGTGTATACTGTAGTACTCTTGTGCCCCTCTTCTCCATGTTTCCTGCACACCTGCATTAAAAAAATATAAACTGAGTGAGCACCTTGTTGGTAATCTCAAATAAAAATGGCTATGTTAGTTCACAAATTGACATTTTACACAAAAATTCCATTTACAAAAGGCTGTAGTTAGAAACAGCTCAATAGATAACTTGAACATGCACCTTAAAACATATGCTAAAATAAACTTTAAATACACTTAACCATTAACTTTCCACAGTATGCATCCCATACTCTTAAAAATAATACATTTGTTTCATAAAAATTTGGCTAACAAATTAAAATTAGTAAATGGACATATTGTAGAAGTGTCTAAACTTCTTATTTTGGCTCAGCAATAAAGATGGCTATCTAGAAATTTTACAAATTTGTATAGTATTTCTTTCTATCTCGCAATTATTTTACCAATCCTCATTCATTTTATTACATAAAAAATATATTTAAATATGCCTGAAAAAAAAATCAAAACATATTTAACACTCTATATATTAGAAATGACTAAATTGCTATTGATCTGATTAATTTGTTGGATATTTGTTTAGACAAAAATAATTGAAGTTGACTGCCCCAAATGACTTGTTTTAGATTTTATTTTATATTTTTAGTTTTATAGTGTAGACCTACATTTATTGAATGTATTGTAATATAGTTGTTGGAAAAATATTTATTTCAAAGTTAAAAAAAAAATAATTTTTATATCTAATTCAATTTAAAGAAGGTAAATATTTTTTAAATTCTTCACATATTCATGAATAATCACAATCTTTACAAATTACAGTGAGAATTTAAAGGTGGTGTTTTGGAAGGATGATCAGGAAGTTAAAAACAAATTATCAAGAAGCTCTAGATATCAAACTTGAGTTTAACCAGTCATTTTAATGTATTCATTTCAGAAATTTAATGTTGATAAGGGGCTGTTCTGGTGTTTCAATAACAAAAGAAAAAGTTGATATGTTCAGATCATTATATTATTACCATGATGCCTTTCAAAGTCCAAGACCACATGCAGGTGCGGATGGACCTGGCTGGCGCCACACTTAGGCAGGACGTCCCAGATGACACCAGGAAAACGAGCCTTTGAATAATTATGATTGGCTTTGGCAATCCTGTAAACAAGGAGAAGAAAATCTGGTCAACCAAAAATTATTTAGTCCATGTTATCTTCTGATCAATTTCTTTATCCATTCTCAATTTCTGCAAAAAAGTTAGATAAAATTACTAAACTATTTTTAGTTTGTTAAATTATAATAGATAATATTAAGAGAATCTAAGCCAACTTAGTTCGAATTGAAAACATAAAAATCATTATTGTAGTTTAATTTTTTGTCAGACAAATGTTTGCTTTAAATGTTAAGAGTCAAAACCTTGCCCGGTTTACTTTGCAGTGAGAATTTCTAATATTGCGTTGATTATCTACAGTATGTTGACTAGTTGAAACAAATTTAACAATGCTGAATTTGCTGTAAAAATTTTAAAATGTGTGTAATATCTACCATGTATTGACTAGCTCAAACAGATCTAAAAACTCCTCCAGATTCCAGTGGATGGGGTCATGCTTCTTCAAGGCCAAGATAGCATGCAGCGTATCTACTTTAAATATATTGGAGGCAGAAAAGGCATGTTTAGACTCCACTCGACCAAACGTATGCTCTGCTGTAAAACTGAGGACAAAGATAATTTTTGAACCTAGAACCTTTTAGAAGCAGAATTTTAATTAAAAAATATAGTCATGATTTATACTAATAAATTATTTTTCCTTTTAAAACTGTCAATGTAAATAAATTATCTTAAAAGCTAACTTGTTTTTAACCTGTAACTTCATTTTTAAAATTATCAAGCACAATATAACGATCATCCAAAGCTTAGTAAAAACATGTGACAAATGTAACACTTACTCTTTAAACTTACAAAAATCACATGACTCTGCTGACTCTTTTAGCATGGTATTAAAGCTGAAACAAACAGTAACATTGCTCAATTAAAATTCCACTACAATATTATACTTAAATATTTGATTCTAAAAAATGAAATAAGGATGTAGAATAATTTTTAATTTAAACAAGTAGTTTTACAGCACACCATAGCTCTTATGCTCATGTTGTTTAAATAACAACAGCACAATACTAAAGAGAACAAACAGAAAATAAAATACATACTAGCTTTCCTCTGATTCTTTAGGGGGTGAGACTGGCCTTTTATCTCTCAATGGATTGAAAATTGTGTGCTCATGTGTGAACTCGCTGATAATATGGATCACATCCTAAATGTAGACAACAGAATTTGAAATGAACTCGTACAAATCTATCCTTACCTGTAGAAACTTTTGTTTTAAAATATACTATTTATATAAATATAAAGGCCTATAAATAATTTTTTTTAAAAAAAGTAGTAAAAATACTCAAGCATTTATATCAATGTGTACCTGATTATAAACTTCATTAAACAGCTCCTCATTATTTGCTAGCCAACCTTTAACCTTAGGTTTGAATGGTTCAGGGATAGACAACTGTGCTTTTCTGGCAGTTATCGTGAAAATGGAAGCAAATTTATCATACAAGGCCCTGAGGAAATTAAAAAACAGAATGAAACCAGAGTACTCTAAAACATACCTGTAAATAATGTTACACAAGAAACTTTTATCTGGATTTAGGTGACAAGATGACATGATGAGTGTGTAAATCTCTATACATCCTATACCAGAGTAGCTCATGTTTTGGTAAGTACAGAAATATATATTAAACTCTAGTTAGTATTCACCTACTGGCAGTATCTGTTCTTTGATTTGGCCCATTGCTTTTTTATGTCCACTAGACCTGTTATACTGTATTCAGCATTACTAACACACATGGATTTGAAAAATACCTGAAAAAATAAATATTTTATTTAATATGGCGTACATTTTTAATTTTTCTGGAATTGCAGGTTGCATTCTGTCCATTATAAATTGATTTTTACTCTTTACAAATTTTCTGAAAATAATTTTAGTCTTCTTGAAACTAACTTGCTAATTTAAAATATTTTACTTTTTCAGAAATTAGTTAATTTTAAACTTAAAATCTTGACAAATAAAAAACAACACTTTAAAGAAACTCTTGAAGGAACTCTTGACAATTAGCTTTACTGCACTCTCATTATACCTCATTCTTCTAAATATTTATTTCCGATAAGAAAACAAATTATTTATAAAACACACTCAAGAACTAAGGCAAATTTATTTTTGTTACCATTATCCTAGCTACTTAAATTTTTAACTTTCCAAACAATGTCCCTTTCAATATATTATATATTGGACTACACTAAGTTTAAAATATACAATACACCGACAATATAAAAAATTAAACATTGTAACTATTTTAAACTGGAGTAACATAAATGTAGAAGAAATAATGTTTTAGTCAAGACTCACACTATCTACTGGAGAATTCTTTTTAAAATCTGGCCAAACTGAGTAAGAATGTTGTTCTTGGATTTCAAATTTCTGAGAGAAGATGGTTACATTGCTCAACTTCAGTGCTGACATCAGGTAAAAGACAACTAGCGAGAGGGCCACTATCACAATTAAGATCCATTGCTTTTTCCACTTGATTATGGGAGCCATGATGCATTTCATTAGCGCACCTCCTTTGTCTACATCAGGATAAGACAGGGAATGCTCTTTTGCTGACAACATGGTGATTTCTTTCTAGAATACACAGGTGAATAAAAAAGTAAATTAGTATACTAAATCTTACTACTGTTGTTTGGGCTAAAAAAGATATTTTATGATGCCCGCTTTAAATTATTTTAACATTAAAATTTTCAAGCTTTCTGTTAATGTGCCTATAGTGTCACATTACACAAATGAGATTTTTCAAGTAATTTAAGCAATGTTTAATAACTAATTAAGCTACTAAAAGAAATACGAAAAGACAGGTTTTGCGTCAGTATACACACACTAACACAGTAATACAATGTGTTGCTTCTATCAGCATAATTTGGCATAACTGCCCTTTGATTCATTCCTCTACAAGATTTTGTTCAACTCTTACCCTTGCCAACATAGCGGCATGAAATGAGGTTTGTAAATGCTGAAATCGTGATCCAGATCCAGGTCTGAGTTAAATGCACTACAATGCTGTGTATTATAATAATTATATATTCTATGTAGGCTTCTGGTAATTTTGTTTGGGTAAATTTCAGCAATTGTTTAATATATGATGAGAGCTTGAGTGATGATTAGTAAAAGGGTTCTTCAGAGCACCTCTCCTACCCACCATATTTGTAGGCCTAAAAGTGTTTTTTAGGTTAAGCTTTATAACCCTAAACATCAGCTATTGGAATATAAAGGTTTGGCAGCATGATACATACATGTTTCACCAGTTAGGTTTAGATCTAGGCCTAGAAAATTACATTAGGCCTGGCCTAGTCAGTTCTATGGTGTGACCAAATGTACTAATAATAGCCTACCAATTTTTTTTTACTTTGTTAAGGATTATAAGGATTACTACAATCAATAGGCCCTATAATGACATACACATATAGGCCCTACTCATATAGACTACTAGTCTTAAAAATAAAAGTAGCCTACTAGATCTACTTATTTACTAAATCATTTAGTAGGCATGATGATACTTATTAGGCCTACTTATTATATTAATAATTAGGCCATATAGGCCTACTATTTTATATTATAGTATAATTATAGGCCTTGATACTTATTAGGCCTACTTATTATATTAATAATTAGGCCATATAGGCCTACTATTTTATATTATAGTATAATTATAGGCCTTGATAGAGTAGGCCTAGTACTAGTAGGCCTAGACTCTATATAATATATTAATATATAATATATAGTATTAAGTATATTAATCTGAGTAGGCCTATAGATCTATATTAATATTAATTTTAATATTAATAATCTAGTGTAGTAGGCTTAGGCCTTAGGGCTTAGGCTTAGGGCATTAGGCCTAATATAAATATTTACTAATTTAGATCTAGATCTAGATCTAGATATAGAATGTGAGTAGATTTCTAGATCTACTAGATCTATTTAATATTTAACATTTAGTGTATACTAATAATACATTTTAATTTTAGGCTTACAAAATTATTATTTTTTTAGAATCCTTCCGAAGTAAGTTGAAGTTCCAACTGAACCAGAGTTAAGCGCAAGCGAGTTTATATATAGATCTATTTAAATCTATTATAGACCTCTATAAGCGTTTGATCCTCTGAATTTGCACATAGACTAGATTCTAAATAATATAGATAAATCTATTTAGATTGAAATATAATCAATATATCAGATCAATCATGATGTGTAGTACTGTAGTTTAAGTAGATTTTAAATGTTAGAATGCCATGTAGGCATAGTATAGATCTAGATTTACGTTTCGTTTCTATGGTTGGCAGTCGATAGGCTACGCAAGCTAATCGAATGATAGAATATTTTTAAGAGTTGCCCCCCTTGGTAAAATGCGAGTGGTCTGTGTTTGGGTGGATAAAAATGGGAAAGGGGGGGGTGTTAAATGTTATATCTTAACCAGTAGACCCAGTGGCCTGTGGGTATATGTCGTGGAGCAATCATCGCCTTTTTTTAATGTTGATGCCGTGGGGCTATTTCACTACATCAGCTTGTCTTGCTTTTTGTCGGTTTTAAAAATAGACTGCGGGCCTACGTAGAGCTAAAACGTCTCAACCGCCGTAATTTTTTTAACAGCCTTCGTATCTATTAAATGTAATTACCAGTAGAGTCCATGGTTGGCTGACTTTGTACAATCAGACCCAGCTTTTATTAAAATGTCAACTGCCGGACGAAGTGTAGCGTAACTGGTTCTACGTAATTCTAATCAGATTACTTGTAATTCTGAAACAAAAGGTTTAAAAATATTATCCATTTTATTGTATTTAGTATTTCGGCACACAGAGTAAGCCGACAAAGAAAAATAAATTAGAAACACACAAACATATATGCCTACACGTTGATAATAATTTATACCTGTCTCTTTTTAGTTAGTTGACAAAATACAGAATCATTTCCTTAATTAAACTAACATCTATTATTATAGCAGTGAATATGCTATTTATATGGCAGGCCCTATGTTCCATAAGGAGCAAAGAGGACTAAGTAAAGCCAAATACGCTATTTAATTCGGGGCCCTAATCGACGTTGCACATAAGCCCCGTTCGCCCTGAAGTCGTCTGAACGAAATGTCGGGCTATTGAGCCAAGGCTTTTGGTTTTTCTTTACAAAGAATTTTTCCGAAGACAGCGAGAAAGACATAAGAGAAAGAAAACCCTTCCTCAACCAGGGGTTACATGAAAACGATTGACAACGATTTTTGAGCTCCCTAATCGGTCTTCCCCCCTCCCTCCCCCCCCCCCCCCCCACCCCCGCATTGCGGGGTCTGGCGGTATAGTAGTTTTACCCTGTATTCAATCCTTGTTAAGTCTAAGCGCTATTTGTGTTAAAAAAAAATTAAAATGCTGTGTCAGTTCGAATAGCCCCACCGGTTCTTGACCCTGTTTTTTCAATCCACAGAAGATACTTCAGTGCTAAGTACCGTAATCAATAATAGGCTAGCCCACATTTAATCGGGAATTTACATGCTCGTGTTTTCGTTAAGATTATCTTCTAGTACGATTTTCGTTAAGACTATCTCGTAGAAAGATTTTAATAGGACACGATAACTGCCTTCATACAGGTCTGCTTTGGGATTACTAGTTCTCGAGAGGGAAATATACAAAAATACTTTTAGCTAGTTTTATAGCCTACAAAGTAAAAAATATTTGAACCCATGTCCATAACTAGTCCACACCAGGTTATACAAAAGGTTTTGACGGCGCTGATTATTCGGTACAGTATTCTAACCCAGGGGTCGGCAACCTTTTGAAGCGGAAGAGCCAAAAGTTACAATTTTCAAAATTTCCCTGGTTTTAAAGAGCCACTAACATGTTTTTATTTCAAATATTTTATTTTTTATTAAGATTATTAGTATTTGTTCAAGGAGCTGGAGAGCCGCATCTTGATATCCAAAGAGCCGCATGCGGCTCGCGAGCCGCAAGTTGCCGACCCCTGTTCTAACCTTTCAGACCAGGAGACGGTCCCATAGGCCAGATTAACTTAGTCGATAGCGATAATCTGTTTCTATGACCTCGACATATTAAAGGGATGGTGTGTAATTCAGTTTAGGGTTGCCCTTAAATGCTGCCACACTATTTTAGAACGTTTTTTTTTTCATTCGTATGTGAAATATCTCTTTAACACACTTTCAGGCATCTGTACGTAAAGTTCCCTTTCGAATCTGCAGGTCCATAGGGCAAGTGAAGTAGAGTTCATCTGTTTCTACGACCTCGGCATAAGAAGGGATATTGTGGACAGCACTACGCGCAGCCGCCTTTGTTAGATACCCATTAGAGCTGGGTGGACTCGGGGATGTTCTATCGACTATAACCCAGAATCAGTAGCGTAGCGAGGGGGGACACATGTCACCGGGCACCGACCTTAGCGGGCGCCAAAATGGGTTGGAAAAATAAATTGAAAGGTTGAGGGGTGTATAAATCGAAAGTTTGAGGGGGGGGGGGGTGCAAATCGAAATCTCGAGGGGGGGTGCAAATCGAAAGTTTGAGGGGGCGGGGTGCAAATCGAAAGTTTGAGGGGGGGGGGGGTGCAAATCGAAAATTTGAGGGGGGTGCAAATCGAAATCTCGAGGGGGGTGCAAATCGAAAGTTTGAGGGGAGGTGCAAATCGAAATCTCGAGGGGGGGTGCAAATCGAAAAGTTTGTCCCCGGGCGCCGGGAAGGGTCGCTACGCTTCTGCCCAGAATCGAACTCGAGACTTACGGGTTAGCAGTCGTATGCTCTTATATTATTCAAGTGTGCTTTACTATTTGGTGTGCATTAAAAGGTGTGTTATTTGTCAATTTACTAGCAGTCAGTTTATCAACAATAAGCGAGTCCCACTATAGGCGTACAAAAACCGGTTCGACTTTTGTGCTGTGTGATAAAACATGCACACACTGAAATAGCAGCATACGCCACACGTTGATCTACCTACGCTACACCCAAGTCTATAATTACACGTAGGTATGTGAACACGCCCCTTCAATAAACTTGCTACACCTGACTGTGAAGTGACTCAGTTCAATGGGTTCACATTCTATTTGTGTGACATGGGCGGGAACCATGGCCTTAGGGGAGATCAATGCGACAACTATATATATATATATATATATATATATATATATATATATATATATATATATATATATATATATATATATATATATATATATATATATATATATATATATATATATATATATATATATATATATATCTTTAATCTCAAATGTATTTCAGCTCTAGTTAACAGATCGTTGAATCACCATTAAATTTTAATTACACATTTGCATTATCAGGTTATTAGACGTTTTGTATTATGTATAAGCAAACCTTCTTAAATAAATGAAAGTAAATGTAAGAAAGAAGTATTACTATTGTAAATCCATATCCATCCTCACAAGCCGATGATGAAAACAATGTAATACAAAAGGGAGATCCCACGAGTTTGACATCATTGTTGATGTTTGTGTGTGTTGGGATAGGGGGGGGGTATAGTTTCTTCTTGGCATCCCCCGGAGAAAAAAGTCTGGAAGAAACACTGTGGGGGGGGGGGGGGGAGAGATTGTGATTGTTAATAAGCGAAACGATACAGGCCAACACGACATACTGTGTATTGTGATGTACTTTATTCCGTCTAGGTAAAACTGAGCGGGGTTAGACACACCACCACCACACGTGTGTGCTAGTCAGCGCCTGAGACTACATAAAGCAGAGAGCCACTTCACCGGTTGCCACGTACCCGGTGTGTAAACAAAACACGACAGCCTGTTCGACGAGGCTGTAAAGCTACACACGTAATAAAAGCACACAGCACATTTGAAAGAAGGAAAAATAAAACAAAACCTCTCACTAACAACGCTACACATATAAACGACACCTCCCTCCACCCCTCAGCGCTAACCTACTCCCCTCCCACCTGTCCTCATTTATAATAGTGATCTCTTGCCAACGTCAAAGTGCTATCGATGTATGCTGTCGCATTTTTTAATCAAATAAGAACAAAGGTAAATAAACAGAAATGACTGAAACAATTGTAACCATACACATATAACATTCGTATAGCTAGTATTACCAAACGAGAAATGAAGGCTATCCCATAGATTATATTTTTAAAAATGCTCTTTGATTTTCGTTGTAATTCGGAGTCATATATTTAAAAACAAATACCTCTCCCTTCTACCTATACCCTATATAAACCGGATGTCCCATCCCATAATACATGCTTAGCTTTAAGCTATAATTAAGCTACATCAATTCACAGAAGCCGCCTTACCTAGCAATGACCTCTCGCAGACTACCTGTGAGCACATCCAGGTCGGCAGTTAAAACAGTGGCAGGCACGGTCAGTGAATCAGTTTCAAACGTGGACTGATTGATTGGGATCAATAGCCCCAAACGACCAGGTTAGAAACGTGCGTGCCACTGAGAAAAGTTTAGATGGGAACTACGTAATCGAACTAGCGCCGACTGCATGGAATGAAAGGAAGGCATAGGTCATCAATAACGTAAGCCGCCCTACAGGCATAATCGATGATTATTCAGAGATCGATATTCAGATATTACGAAACACGTGGGCCTACTTTTGTAGGACTACGAAACACAGACATTTTAAAATTGGAATTTGTCAATGCATGGCGTGCTCATTTTTTTTTAAATTTTATTTATTTATTTATGTTGCTGCTTTTTAATTTGACGGTAAAACTAAAAAAAAATTCATAAAAAACGTTTTAATAACAAGCTTTTATGTAATGATGCACTAAAAAGTAGAAAATAAATTATAGACTACTATTTAAATAACTATAAAGAAAAGCGTGGGTCACTTTAGTATCTATTGGATACCTTTACTAATGTTAAGGAAGACACCCACGCTTTTCTTTATAGTTATTTAAATAGTAGTCTATAATTTATTTTCTACTTTTTAGTGCATCATTACATAAAAGCTTGTTATTAAAACGTTTTTTATGAATTTTTTTTCAGTACTTTACATGTTTTATCTACAATAGAGTTACATGACTAAAAACCACTGCGCGCCTACTGAACATCACGTTCAGTAGGCGCGCAATGGTTTTTGAACGCAGCCAATACGTGGTCGTGATGGCGCAGCTATTGATGACGCGTGTGGTGTGGTTGGCTAGACATGCCTACTAATTCGGTCCAAATTTTAATTAATTCATAAAAAATCAATTAGGCATCCAATTAAGTCAAATTTAGTTTCAGATTGCATTGTCTTCATGTCTTGACCCACGTGCCAACTGTGAATCGTGTCGGTCAAGTAGAACTGTCCGAATTTTCACTCCTGCGTTTCCGTCTAGACAGACTGTCGACAGACTGACGACAGAGGAAGTGAGTTAAATAAAAGCTTGTAAAAATAGAGTAAATGCCCATCGTGTGTCAAATATGTTTCAAAGTTAAAGATCGATATGACTCAATGAAAAAATATCGATGAGCCCCTAGGAGCAGTGTTGTGATAGTCCTATTCAAGTTTTCATTTGTTTTTCTTTTTCCAAAAAAAAAAATTGTTGGTATTTTAAAATTTCTTCATAAGAAGGCGTAAAATTGAAGCTTTGAAGGAGGAAAATTGCAAAAGTAGTTACTGTTATAGGTATGATTAAAGATAAAACCTAATTCGACATCTAAATAAATTAATCTATAGTCTACACTTTTTTTTAATTTAAAAAGAATTAATGTAGAATTCTCGTTAGTCGATCTCGTGTATTAGTTATTAGTTATTAATTAGTATTA